AACAGAAGCTTGGTCTGCTCCAGCCTTGCAGAAAAAGAGGGAATCGTCAGCAAATAATAGGTGAGTGAGTAATGGTCCATTTCTGGAGAGTTTCAACCCTTTCAGATGTCCTCTGTCTACTGAGTGCAATATAAGAGCTGTGAGGAGTTCTGCAATAATTATGAATAAGTAAGGGGACAGAGGGTCCCCTTGTCTTATTCCTCGGGAAGGAGAGACATGACAACTGACTGTTCCATTGATTTTAAATGAAAAGGAGGTTGTTGATATGCAGATCATGATTAAATTGACAAACTCCCTTTGAAATCCCATCTTTAGCATTATGTCCCTGACAGATTGCCATTCCACCCGATCAAAGGCCTTTATTAAATCTAACTTGAGAGCCATAAAGTAGTTGGGGCCTGAAGAGTGCCTGTTTAGATAATGAAAGGCTTCCTGTGCAATTATAACGTTATCCATTAACTGTCTACCCTCAACAAAAGCCGATTGATGATCACTGATACAAGCTTGCAGACATGCTTTCAACCTTTGAGCCAAGACTTTGGATATGATTTTGTAAACAGTAGTGCAAAGGCTTATTGGCCTAAAATGTCCTAAAGATTCTGGGTTGAGGCATTTTGGAATCAGTGAAAGGATGGTGTGGTTCCAGTATTTGAGGAGCATACCTGACTGGAAAAATGAAAGAACAGCAGCATAAAGATCCAACCTGATAAGCTCCCAAAAGTGTTGATAAAAAGTGGCATTCATCCCCTCCTCCCCAGGTGCCTTGTCAGTTGGAAGATTGAATAAGGCTTCCTTAACTTCTGCCTCAGTAACTGGTTTCAATAATGCTGCATTCATGTCTGCTGTGATGGTTTGAGGGATCAAGTGAATGATGGAGTCTCCTCCCATGCTTCCCTCTGAGGTGAAGAGTTTGGTATAGAAGTCTGCAATGTGCTGTTCAATGGCTCTTTGAGAGGTCAACACTCTGCCTTGAGAACAAAGAAGCCTAGTAATGGCATTGTGCCTTCTTCTCTGGAGAGTAAATGTATGAAAAAATCTCGTATTAGCATCTCCTTCTCTCAGCCATCTCTGTCTTGACTTTTGTTGCCAAAAGAGTTCTTCATGGAGGTGAGCTTTATTCAGGTCCCTTTTAGTTTCTGCCCAGCTGTCCCAATTATCATCAGTCTTGTCATGGTTCAGTTGCTCCAGTTTAGAAGTAAGCTCTGCAATTAGCTTCTGGTTCTGAGTATAGAAAGAAGAACTCCATTTTAACAGTGCAATCCTGGTATTCTTAATTTTTTCTTTCAGCTTAAAGAATGGAGTCCCTGTGACAGGAATTTGCCAGGCCTTCTTCACTGTGTCTTCAAATCCTTCTTTGCCAATCCACCGTTTGTCAAAATGAAATCTTGCTTGTTTCTTCACTTTTGGTAACCCCAAATCCAAGATAAGAGCAGAGTGGTCAGAAGCACTTCTAACAATGTTTTTCACTGTTGCATTGGGAAAAAGTTGGTGCCATTCCTCAGAGCCAAATGCTCTGTCTAGCTGTTCTTCTATTAATTCATCACCCTCCCTGTTGTTGCACCATGTATAAGGATGGCCTTGCATTTTTAATTCTTCCATGTTCATCTGATTTATGAATGACTTGAAGGCTTGAAAACTGTTAGGATTTCTTGGAATGCCTCCAGATTTCTCTTCATTGGAACACAGGTCATTCCAATCTCCTATGGTAAACCAGCAATTGCCCCAAGAGGTGCTGTCTTGAATCAGAGAATTCCATTGAGCAGTTCTAATGTTTCTGCAGGGATTAATATATACAAAAATTCCCCATTGGGAAAGATGGGAAGGAAAAGAGAATTGAACTGCAATATAAAAGTCTTTACAAATTACTTGACTAATAACAACACTAGAATGCCAAAAAAGGGCTAAACCCCCACTGAGACCCAAAGGGTTTACAATAGCTACCCTATCATCATACCCTAGCTTTTTACCAATAGACTTAACAAAGGATTTTTGTTTTTTGGTCTCAGAAAGAAAAAAGAAGTGTGGGTGGTGAGTCTTGATTAACTCTCGCATTTGGGAAATTGTAGAGGGCCCACCCAGCCCTCTACAATTCCACACCACAGCTAGCATTGATCATTTTGGTGCCATTCTAGGCTGGCACCATCCACCTTCTCCAGTTGTAATTTGCTTTTCTTGGGTTCTGACTGAGATAGCTGCTGGTCATGCTGAGAACCTTCTTCTGCATCTCTCTGTCTTTTGCATCTTCTAAATGAGTACAATATGAATATTGGAGAGAAAGGTTTAAAAATAAATTAATCTGATTGATTTAGTGAAGGTATGTAATAGAAAAAAATTAAAAAAAAAAATATTATGGTAAATAGAAAAAAAATAAAATATAAAAAAGAAAGTATTACGGTAACTATGGAAGAAATATATGGAATAAAATAAATATTAATTGCTTCAAAATAAATGAAGAAAAATTAGTACGTACGTACCATGTGCGATGCACGAGACAGAGATATTAAATGAATTATTTTCACATGCTTTGTCCGTTTAAGTCTTAAAAAAATAAAATTATCATCTATTTTCCACGTCTTTTAATTAACGTGTTAAGTCAAAAAAACAATAGGGTTATATTTCATTTTTCATCTATTTTAATCATCATTGTTTTTTTGACAGAATATTAAATAGAGAATGTTAGGCCAGCTTGTACAATAATTAATATATTATCTCACTAACAATTTTATACTAATATAAATTTAGTTTTAGTATATATATTTTTTCCTTGATATAAGTGAAAATAACATTTTATGTATTCTTGTCACCATATGATACTTAATAATTACTTTACTATAAACTTTAATGTCATATAATGTCATTATTATTTATAAAATTCATAGATGTTGTACCTCTTCTTTTTCTTTGTATTGTATGTAATGAAAAATATTTAATGCATGTTATTATTATTTATTTATGTAATCAATCTAAAGTAGGTAAATAAATTTAAATTAAATAGTATATAAATATTTTATAAAATATACACACATGTTTTTGGAATTTAATTTTGTATACTAAAATAATTTTGATTTAGCAAATGCCAATAACACATTCCCTTCTATAATCAAGATTTTTTTAGTTTGAATTATAAGGATTTATAGTTTATTTAGAATTAATACTATGCGATGAAAATATAATTTACAAAAATTTCATTATCGAAAGAAATCAACATAAAAAAAAGATAAAAAAATAATCATGGTTGCCAAAAATAATAAATTCTAAAGAACAGTTAATATATTTCAATTTTACTTTTTGACGATTAGTAAGACATTTATTTTGTCATTATCTCTTAAATGGTAAATTATATTAATTTAAAGATTAATTATTTTTATATAACGAAATAAAGTTTAAGAAAAAATATATTGACAAAAATTAATTCACCAACTTGATTTTGCCTGATTAATTAGAAGAAACAATTTTACCTAACATGTCACAATTTTCTATAAATATTTGGATAAAAATGAATATTTGTGAAAAAAAAAATTATTATGGTTAGAACTTAAAATATGTTGTAATATTTATCTTGACTAAAATATTATCAACATGACTCACAGAAAAATTAATTTTGTAATTTATTATAATGATTATCAATGAAATTATTGCAAATATCAATAAAAATATTTAAAGAAATAATATTTTTGATCATATCTGATTTGATCTTATTTAAAAACATATATAAAGAAAGAATGCATATATTTAAAAAGTTTCCAAAAAAATCAAGCATTAAATGCTCCCAAAAATCTTGACTACTATTTTTAGTAAATGGTTATCCTTATTATATGTATATAGATATAGATAATTAATATATTATAGAAATAACCACACTTAATAGACATTTGACATGACATCCGAGCTTAATTATGTATCAGTCCAAAGCATATATTTGTGACAAATAGGATTTGAAGCATGCGAGCCTGTTAGATAGGCTCGACACATTCTTGAATTATATATAAGGGGAGAGAAGTCAACTCTCAAGTAAGTATATCAACATATTAATTGTTTTCAGTTTTTTTTTTTTTAAAA